TTTTTTCGTAGCTCCGCTCAGCCTGCGAGGTATGCACCCCAACGCTCCTGTGTGCTGCAGCGGCACCGGTTGCCTATCCATCGCCTGACAGGCGCTCTGCGTGTGGGGCTGGGCTTACTCCCCATTTTTTTATTATTTTTTTGTCAGGGGGGGAGGGGGGAGTTGGCGGTGTGACTGGGGGCGCCACAGGCGCCAGGCCAGAGGCCACCCTCGCAAGCGATGTGCTGACGTCTTGCGTTGTTCCGCAGCCCTGGATGCACCTCAAGATGCTGGTGCACTGGTTGTTCACGGCACTGCTGTGGTTCGGCTCGCTCAGCTCGCACACCCTGGCGCAGGCCGGCCACGTTCTCATGCAGGTGGCCCAGGACCTGAGCCCCGACTACTCGGAGGGCGAGTACGGTGAGTGTCGTTCGGGGAATGCAGTTAGGGGAAGGTCCGCCGGGGAGTGGGCTGTGCTAAACCCCCTGTCCTCTCTGCACACAGCGGACGTGGCGTTCGACCCGGACCCCACGGCGACCAACGGGCCGGAGGAGAAGGTGACCAAGGTGCCGGTCGAGCGCATCTTCAACAAGCTGCTCATCAACCGGACGCGGCCGCAGCCCTGCGACCAGCAGGTGGACCTGTTCCTGCTGGCCAACGCGAGCAACGTCCACATCCCGATGAACGGGTGCAGCCGGCCCTTCGTGGCGCACAGCATCCCCAACAGCAACCTGCTGCTGCTCGTCGTGGACGCGCTCTGCCCCCAGGAGGAGCCGCGCCAGGTGCACGAGGTGACGCTCAGCCCCACCGAGGTGGTGTACAACGCCTCGCTCAGCTGCTACAAGGTCGGCCCCGGCTGGGACCTCAACCGGAAGAAGCCACGCTCGTGCTTCAACCACCACCCTAAGGTAAGTGTGCAACATCCTCCTACCCCTCCTCCCACTGGCGGGTCGAGTCTAACAGCCCAACCTCTGTTTTGTGTTTCCAGGAGAGGGAGATCGAGCTCTGTGGTGGGGCCACGTCCCTCACAGCGTGGACCTTCCTGAGCATAGTGCTCTCTCTGCTGGTTCTTAGGATAGGAACCTGTCGCCATCTCAGAGTAATTTCATGAGGGTAATTTTTTTCCTAATCATAAGACGATAGTGAGCCCATTTGTCTGTGATATAGAATTTAATTGAAAGCCTCTGATGTGAACATGAGAAGCCCAAAACAAATTTCTCACTCTTTGACACATTCCTGAAAAGAACTGAGAACGTATTATTACTATTGTTATGATAATTACTATTAAAAGTCATTCCCCCATGACTATGG